GCTTTTGGGAACAGGCTCAAGAAAATCATGTGCATCTCTTTCAGGAAATATATATCCATTTGTAGACCCAGATAATGAGGTGGTATTGGCAATTATGTAAGAAGCACGCCACGAAAACAGTTGCAAGATTTAACCAGCTGACTCGCTGCGAAATATCGTTAATAAGAACTGTTTCTTAAATATATGAGCTTGTACATTCAGGGTGAAAACAGCTGGTTTTTTTCAATAGCACAGCTGGTGTAGAAACAAAATTGCTAGCATCTGAACAGGACATGAGCTATATTTAGCAAAATGTATTTGCACGTAAGCTGAAAATTTGCAATTTAATTTCCATTTCAGTGAAAATTGAAATGAGCAGTGTTGTATGTGTATTAATTGTGGATTACTATTAATCTGCTTCTATTAATTGCGGCGTCACTCACATAGGATGTAAGCCATTAATGTGCCAAGGCACTTCAAATGTAATGTAGATCAGATTTCTTTAGATGAAAGTTCTGGAGGAGGGGTACTGTTGTGCTGAACATCCTATTCCAGTTCACAGGAATTTTAACAGATGAAGTGATTTGCGGAAGAAATTTCTTCCTTGAGGAAGGCAACGCAAGCATGAAAGCAATACAAATTGCATTTTACAGCATGTGAGAATCAACTGTTCCTGCTGCAACTGTTTATTTGTGAGGCTACAAAAACATGTTCCCATGAATTTGGGCAATACTAAAAAATGCTGCTGATGCAAGTCAGCAGATGTGCAGTGCATCACGAGTCATAGATGCATGCAGGAATTAACGGAAGGGGAGATTTAAAGCTCAACATTAAACTTGAACCAGTCTGTTTATTACTAGCATTTACCCCACTCACTGACCTGCCTTGATTGGAGGCTCTAGCAAGCTGCACGTTGCATCACATCACATCTGTAACACCTATAGACAGAAAAACCCTTTGACATGTAGTGTTAGTTCTCTTGTATCTCATTTCTGCCACTGCTGGTTAATGATCAGTGTCTTGGTTTCTCATGTGGTTTCTTTTTCTTAGATGCATATTTTTCTCATTGCTGGATTTTTCTGTGGTGCCACGCTGTTTATTTCAGGCACTGGCTTTAGCTGATGCTCAGGACAGAATGCACCTCTGCTGTGTTTCAATCAAAAGATGCTTGGGACCATGGCATTTGTTAACTGGTACACCTCTCTATGTCTGCTGCTAGATGAAGCTGGTTGTGTAGAGTTTGGGTGCTGTTCCTTGTAACAAATCAATTCGGCTGCTGTTTCAGAAGATCAATTCTTTTGCATAGCTGAAATGGATTTGCTCTTGACAATCATATTTTAGAAAGCTGCTGTTGCTGCTGAAACTACAGTCTTGTATTAGTGCCTCAGGACAGCCATTTTAAAACAACAGCTGGTAGAAACTTCTTTGCACGTAAGATATTTCTACATGGCAAAGTGAATGTGGTGCAAGGTGCTCTGAGTGCTGTGGTGTAGAGATTAGCAGTCAAATAATGTGTATGTTTGGTGTGCACTCTGCAGAGGCAGCCTCAGTGAGATTGGGTACCATCCCAGCAGCAGCCAGGCTCTCTCTGCAAGGTACAGCCCTGGCCTATAAAAACTCTCCCCTTCTGTGCTCTCTGTTTATTACTCGTGCTTTCTTTCCAGATTTTCCCAGGAATCAAAACCAGTAGGACTCTTTTCACATGACCCTAGCCTACAATGTAGTTATTTTTGCAGGAAAACCACTATTTTAGAAATATCAGCTGCTTCTTTCACATTGGTAAGTTATGCTGTGTAGGAAAGACTTGGAAGTTGCTGTTTGCAGTGAGGGTTGTTCTTCCTGCTCATGGCTCTGTAGACAAAAGGTGGCAGGAAGGTGTCCAGCGCTGCAGTGGTTGTCTGACTGATACCTTCCTGTAGCAGTGCCCTTCAGGAAAGCCTTGAGGTGGTGGTTAGCGCACGCTGTAAGGCAAGATGCTCGCTTCTTTGGTTTGCAAAGTAATACCTGTGCAAGCTAGAAGTCTGAGAGAGAAACTGGCAGTTAAAAAGAAAAAAGAATTTGAAAAGTAGATCTGGTAGGAGCAGCGCCGGTCTGCCGGTACGTGGAACATCAGCTGCTTACAGTGTGTGTTCCTATGTGCTAGTTAAAACCAACCGAGGAATGTTAACAGCAAGGAAGACAAATCACCCTGTCAGAACCTGCAGCTCGTGCCATGGAAAAGGCTTTCTTAAATTATTCTTAATAGCTGTGAATCATCATCTACACAAGCACGGGGATCAGAAGGCACAGTGTTATAATTGCCTGCGTGTGAGGGCTCTGCATTAACCTGAGAATGCATTAGGCAGTGCCCATTTCAAAAGGCAGAGTGATGTCTAATAGTAATAATAGTATGAAGGATTGAAGGATTTATAGTCAGTGAGTGTGATAAGAGAAACCACTTTGACTTAAGTAATTACTGTTGAGAATTGAACACCTTTACAGGTGTGTCCTGTGGTAAAAGCACTGAGTTTGGAAGCGCTCAGATGAGGCAAAGTTCTGTTCTGTTCAATCTCAGGAATCTTAACACTGGAGCGCATGTGACTGTGAGTGTCATCAGAGAAGCAGAACTTTCTGTAAGCACTGACTGCAGTGTCTGAAGTGATTTCTCTGTGCTGCAGATTATCTGCTGAACAGTGCAGCTCTGCCATCCTTACCCACGTGCTGAGCGGGGTGCCTTATAGCCTTGGTGATGTGCTGTTCTGCTTGCAGTTCGTGGTAGCGTGTATCTGTGAAATAATATCAATCTCTATTAGCTAAACGTGTTGTTATATGTCAGTATCTCTGGTTTGTGATACTGCAGCTAGTGAATGCCTTGGTACAGCACTGTTCTTCATTGTCAGCATGAACACACGTTTGTCTTGATGTTTCTGAGCCAGTGTTTCTCACAGAAACGGAGACATTTGTGTTCAGCTGAGAGCAAAATTGCCAAGATTGCGTGGAAGTAGGAAATCTTAGCATGCAATGTCATGTGCAATTGTGAAACACTTTCCAGAGATGTCTGTGGCAAATAAAAGTCAAAATACCAGAAACCTGATCAGAGATCTCAGTAGTGATTCTGGTTTTATGGCAAACTGTAATTGCTCTCCCCCTTTCCTCAACTAACCTTTTCATGTTCCACAGGCTACAAATTACTGATCTCTTTCTTTCCATTAGAAGATAAGCAACTTTATCACCTCTCCTCTTTTCTACCATCCTTATCACTGTGCAGGCAGTGCCTTTGCTCACAGGTGGTCTAATTCATACATATCTAATTAAAAAGCAGGGCATTTTTTCCTCTTTGTGTTTAGCTTTGAAGAATGCTGCTTTGATATCAGAGCTGAAGAACAGCTTCACGTGTCTGAAAGTTCTCATTTTTCCAACACTACTGCCTTGTCCAATAGAAGTGCTTGCTCCGTCTACAGACTTTGCCTTGGCTGTGTACCAGAGCATTCATTTATTATTAGTGAAGCAGAGAAGGCAATTTTTCATGAAGTTGTTAAAGTGTATGTTTGAATTTGACAGCTCTTCAGAATCTCGAAGATTAGGACAAAGTGTTTAAATGTGATGAGATAGAGAAGAAGATTCAGTAGAGACCAAAGATGATGATAACATGATTAGCAAGGAAAATGATTTTTAGGGCTCATCTATTGAATGGGGGCACTTTGTCTGAAGGAGGCACCAGAGATCAGGAAGCTGCAGATACAGACAGAGAACAGAACTCAGCATCCAATGGTTCAAATAGTGTTATTCTGCATCGCTGTTCTAGTGAATGTCTTAGGAATGTTTCTGTACAGTAATTTGCTCTGTTGCTGTAGTGTGCATTGAGGGAACACCCCTGCCCTATTCTGTATTGTTTTCTTTAGCAAGACCATCTCACTGACAACTCGTTCCATGTTTTGACTGTTTTTTTCTAACTTTGCTCTTTTGGTTTGGGATTTTGGAGCTTGTAAAGTATGTAGTAGGATTGCTGTTTTATAACTGTAATAACTGAGAATTTCAGGGAGGTTAGTGAGGTCAGGCTGTTACCTTTTGCCTACGCTGCAGCTTTGTGTACCTGGCAGCTTTGTGTGTGTGGTAGCTCAACCATTAAGGGATTGTCCATCGTGTTGGAAGTGATTGATGTTGTAGATGTGATTAGATGTCCTTAAATAAATTACTTTGGAGGAGTGATGGATCCAGTGGACAAAACCAAATGGGTCCAAAGATGGTTTCTTGTAAGAACTGTGGTGTGTTCAAGAATGTGGAAGGGACTTAAATAAGAGTGAAATCTCAGGACAGAGAATGCATGGGAAAGTACAATCTTACTCTAAAAACCTTTGCTAATGAAAATTTAGGAATGTACTTTTTGTTAGATTTCTCTGGAGGAAAAAGCCTTACAGTAGATGCAGACGTACTGCAAGGAAAAAAGAAGTCAATTGCCAGTGCAATAATTTATTTCTTTGTGATTGCAGCCCCTGGGTTTTGGCTTCCTAAATAACTTGTGAGTCTATATGAAAAAAGATAAGTGCTGTCGTTTACTTTAATGATGTCACCAAATCACTCTTCTCAAACTTCTTTTTCTAAGTACTAAGTCTGCTTCTTTCTGTGGAAAGAGCTGAAACTGCTGAATCCGTGTGTGTGTCTTCACTGTTGGCATCATGTTGGTATGACAGGAGAAGTCTGGGCCCATAGAGTTCACCCGCCAATTAAAACACCTTGAATGCAGCATATTAGTTGTTCATTTATTCTTAACTTAAATACTTACAAATATGCTGTAAAAACAAAGTTCTCTCCTGATTATCGTACACACGTGGCTCTTGTGTTTTTCTGTAAGTGAAGCCCTGGATTTGATAAGATAATGGGAGGATCTCTGCTCATAGGCCTGAATAAAGCTTCGAAATACTATTTTTCATCCCTTAGATGACCTTAAATTTGTACACAATGATACATAATTGTATGACCTTGACTTACGAATACTCATATTACATAAAGTGAATATGTTGTTCTTGATTTTTGCTTTGCAGTACAGAATTGGGCAATTGTACATGATAAGCAAGCACAGCCATGAGCAGAGTGACCGAGGTGAAGGTGTCGAAGTGGTGCAGAATGAGCCTTATGAGGACCCAAACCACGGCAATGGTCAGCTAACAGAGAAACGTGTCTATCTCAACAGGCAAGTGCAATAGATCTGCTTCTTTCAGCGTGGGCAGCAATAACAATTAGCAGTGAAATGTCCTTGTCAGACAAAAAAGTGAAATATGTCTCTTCCTATGGTGAAATTACACTGCTGAAGGTCAGTACCTCCAAACTCAAAGGCTAGAGATGCTTTTATATTTAAAGACATGTGTTTGTGACCTATGAAATGTATTGCTCGATCTTCTTATTACCTCTGATCTAATTGAATATTGCTGTTTTTCCAATGTTCTTCTATTCCCCTTGGCCTGCCTCGTCTTTTGTTACACTTTTATGCTCTTTCATAGCAAGCACAGAAACAGCACAGCTATTGTTTTTACGTTACAGATTATTCCACCTTTGCAATCCTGACATATCTAACCTTCACTCAGGCTAAATTGAATCACCAGTGATGTTACATGCTCACACACATGCAATCAAACAATATATTTTGCCAACATTCAATATTAATGTGACTGTAATTGTTCTTTCTCACAGGCTGGATATAAGACTTGGTAAAAATCAATACATTTGTTCCTACTGTAGAGCTCCCAGATTTTGTTTGTTTGTTTCTGGTTATTTCTTTCCTCCATGTTAAGAAGAGATAAGGCTTTATGCAATAAAGGTCATGTTCAGAATCATCACTTTATTGTAATTCATAATAACTACATCTGTCCTAGAAAGCATGTGTAGGACATACTTGGGAAGCACGTTGCTTCTGTTAGCACAGGCGGTGGACCAGAGGATCGCCTGCCCAAAGATGGGTATGACCACTGACAAAGATTCACTTCCCTTCAGGAAATTGAAGTTCAGCTAAAGTTACAGTGGATGTTTGAAGTCAGGACTACTTTACAAGAACCTTTTTTTAGCTTGAATTTATACTACTGAAATTCAGTCACCTCCTGAAACACAGTATAGGAGCTTATATCAAGTGCTTTTAGTGTATTCCTATTTCTATAACGCCTCTGTAGACAAGAACTACTTGTATGACTAAAAATAACCACACTGCTGCTTCTGCAGCAACATCCATCATGGTTACTGCAGGAAGCTGTGCTATTTAAATAGCCATTTTTGGAATCTCCCACTGCAGAAAGTCTCACTTCCTACAAGACCAGCACAGTGTGCTCAGAGATAAGGTGTTACTGCACTTCCCGGTACAAGTTGCCTTTGTGCTTCAGAAATCCAACCAGATGTACTTCCTGGGAAACAAGGCCAATGGAAAACACAAGCTGTTGTACCTTTCCTGCTGCTACATTGAACTGGATATTGAAAACTGTACGAAACCTTTGTGTGTTGAGTACTTGAACAGTGCAGATCTCATGGAGAACCAGTAGCTATGTAACACATTTGCCAGACCTGTCCCTTGTCCAATTGAGTAAAGAAGCACATATATTAGGTATTGTTAGCCATAATTTTTCCTCCTTGCTTTCTTGTATTAATAAGCTTTGATTTCCTTCATTCCATTCTTCTGTTTTCTTGTCATTGGTCTAAGTTAAATTACTTCCTTGTCATGGTTAAATTCAGGAGTAGACAGGTGAAGAAACTGTTCATTGGCTGGGTGGTTTGGGCTTTGAATTGGGAACAGTTGTCCTTTCCTGCTTGCACAGCTGATCTTGGTCCAGATACTCCATTCTTATTCTGCTGCACACATGGTTTTCAAGCAGATGGTCTTCAAAGTTTCCTCCATTATATTTCAGGTGATCTGATTTGTTTTTGCAGCCATCCATCACAGGACACCTTCTTACACCAACTTGCAGTGAATTGTGAAGGAATATCACTATGAAGGTTCTAGCAACAGATAGGTTTGGACAGCTTCACACAGTCGTGAGCGGTTGTCCTCTGTGCTTTGCCAAATGCTCATGAACAATCAATGAGATACTATCATCAGTATCTACATAGATTTAGAAATATTTTGTGTACTTATGCCTCCACTGTTGCTCAAGCAAGCAGCATGCTGCAGCCTCACTTAAAATGTCCTTATTTCACAGACAAAAGCTTCTGTTGCCATAGTGGTTGTAGCTGCCACAATAGTCTTAAACTTGATATTTTCAGTGATGGTTTCTTGGAAAGATTTATGTGTTATTTTCATTTGTGTTTTATTGCCTGCTAATATTTTAATTCTTACGTATGTAAAAAGATGCATAAAAGATTGTACACAAGAAAGATTTGTGTAAAGAAAACCTGTTTTAGAGCAATGTCATCAAAGAGCAAAAGTCAATGCACTTGACTTTGAATCTTCAGGTAACGTGCCAATGTCTGCATTTTGCCTCTGGGCAAATTCAATATTTATGCATAGTTAGATCATGGTTAAACAAACCTTAATGATCCAAACTTATTTTCCCCTGAAGTTTGCTAATACAGGAAGTCTTTCTACTTTCACGCATGTAGTTATGCTTAAATAACTTTCAAACATTTACAGTTGGGAATTAAAACTTCAGTAGAGATTCAGCCGTATCCTGAGTGATCTTCTGACGCACTGACAGGCAGCGCAGTTTGAGTCCCTGAAGTACGGTGCAGTTTGTGCTCACAGAAAGTCCGTGTTTGTCTGAGTGGCCAGCACTGCATTTCTGTTACTGACAGCTCAAGTGACTGTAATTGATGTCGTTAGGAAAGGCTTGGATGGTGGATTTGCTTGAACTTTGCTTCTTCTTAAAATGTGTGGCTGTTCATCACTCATTTGGTACTCTGACAGTAAGGGTTTGTGTGCCAGCAGGGGATAAGGGGAAATAGGAAACCGCCTCTAAGAACAAAGATCAGAGTCAAGATGGAAGTGGACCGGCACCACCACAGACTTGCTCATGAGCTCTTATTAGAGGGTGCCTCCCTGTGGCTGAGGATTCTGTGGCACAGACACCTTGCAGGGCTCACCTGCTGCATCCTCCAAGGCTCAGTTCTTGAAACTGCACTGAAACCTCAGCTTGTGTCTGATCAGAGATCACTGCACTGGTGCCATATTGCTCAATCTGGAGGGGAACAAGCTGTCTTGGTTTCGTATACATCTGTGGAGAAATCTGAAACAACGTGTGTTTGTGAGATAAAAATATTGGGAAGTCTGAGTATTACTGCATCCTGTGAAACACTTGTCAAAGTACGAGCATGTTTGAAAGCACCTGTACTACATCCATACATAGGGATCATAACGTATTCTAATTATGCATTTTCTTATTTTCAGCAAACTACCTAGCTGGGCTAGAGCAGTTGTTCCGAAAATATTTTATGTTACAGAGAAGGCTTGGAATTATTATCCTTATACAATCACAGGTAAGGAATAAAATGATTACTAACTTGTTTTTGAGTAGTTCATCTTACCTTCAGAAGCTCCAGATCACATGCTGAGTGATAGACACAGATTATAGACTATGGCTAAGGGAAAGCTGTAATCTATGCCATACCCTCCTTGCAAATAAAGCATCGTGCACTTAGACTGTGCTGAGTTGTACCCCTTGTTGTCCCATACTCTTTAATAACACATAAATCAGCAGATTGTCAGACAGAATTACTTTAATGATTAATGTGTGTTTGCTGCAAGGGTCTTGCTTCAGTGTTTTATTTCACGTTTCTTTTTTTTCTTTTCCCTCATCTTTTTTTTTTTTTTTTTTTTTTTTACAAATGGACGACTGGAAATCAGAATACACAGTAAGTTTTTCCTTTTATTCTAAAAATAGTGTAACTATGTGAACTATAGTACTGGGAGCCAAACTGATTCCTTCTTAATACAACTAATATGTAATACCTTCAATAGTGGAACTGTTTGTTTCAGAAATGAAATGTTACATTTGAACTATTCCTTATAAATTATTGACTTTTTTTTAGCATTTGAAATATGGTATATTTTGATGCAGTAACTGTAACATAGAAGATCTTCTATAAAACAAGGCAAGGCTTTTAAAGTTCTAGTTATTACTTGGAGATATGAGAACATACTTTGTTTTATTTATTGTTTTATTAACTTATAAAATGCTCATCTCTGGTATGGTATCTGGGAAACTGTACGATCTGTAGACAAAATTAAGAATAAACTGGGCCTGGTGCCCAGAAAAAAAACCCAACAGTTATTCTCTCTAGCAGAGCTGAGGCAAAATATAGCACATAAATCATGAGAAAAATTGTTCTAAATGAATTGACCTCAATAATATACAGTGAGTTTTCAACAGCCTTTGGAAGATGAGGGGGAGATGGTGAGGAAATTCCAGGTGAAAGGACACTTCAGAAACAGCTGCCTTGATTTAGATTGAGTTTCTGTTATAAAATATAATCCGTTTGATTTTTAATTCTGCAGTGTTCGAAGTGCTTGTGCAATGCTTAAAAACCTGTGAAGAATAAAGAGGAGAGATTTTGATGTGATAAATGTGAAGGAGTCAAAATAAAGGGATTTTGGAGGCTTAGCTCTGGAAGTTGGAGGCTTAGAGTTATGAATGTAAGCTAGGTTTGAAAACTTGTGTAGATGAACTGTACTTTTTAACATTTACTTTATGTATGTAGGTTGCTCCAAAAGTAATGCCTCCTATTGTTTCCATGAAGCAAGGAGTACAGTAACACTGTTTGATAGAGCAAATTCTCAGCTATAAAACACTGTTTTTCCAAGAGTCACCACCATTAGCTGATTCACACAGATAGGCTAATCAAGATGCTCTTCATCTTGTGGTGTGACAGCTGTGCATGGCCATCCAGAATGTGGCTTGTTCATATCAGTGTCACCACAGCTGAAAAGCACCACCGCCCCTCGCTGTGCTCACGTCCACTGCTTGGTCTCCATCGACATTCAGCAAGTGTTGATGAATGTCAGGGATGCCATTTTTTCCACATGGAGGAATTCAGTTCCACCCCTTTGCTTTGAATACACTCCTATGTTGTACACAGTTGTCAGAGTGCCCCTTTGCTGCCATCTGTTCACATGATGGCATACTGATGGAAAGGTCTGGCCATCCCACCAGCATCCACCCCTGTGGGCCAGCGTAGTAGGAGGCATTGCTTTCGGAGCAGCACTTGCATTTATTATGTGTTCTGCTTTGTTTCACATGAGTTTCTTACAATAAACAAATTTCACATGTACCATAATGGGTAATAGCAAAAAAGGGACAGGCTCAGCTATTTTTGTCTGAAGATGTCTTCAGTGAGGCCTGTTGCAGTTTACAGTGATTAAGTGATTAAACCTTTGATAGCAGTTTAATCTTGCACTGTGAAGATGGCAGGCTGTGTCACATAGATACCTGTTACTCTGTTGAGTACATTTTCTTTCACTGAAAGAGGCAGGTAGAAATGATTGAAGCAAACAATCTTATGTCTGAATTTAAAATGCAGCACATTGTCGAAACCAAAGAGCAACGTCATTCTCAAAGAATTTGAGTCAGGAAGTGATCTTTTCCTGATCTGATGAGACAACACCTGGGACGTTGCAGGGAGGGTGTGTAGAGCAGATCCAGCTGAAGGGGTGTTTCAAGAGCGGAGTTGAATAGTGTTCTAAAGAAAAATCAAATGGGTCTACAAGTGCAGAAGGTAGGCAAAACAGTCCCTTAGTGACAGTGCAGCTGCCTGTGGGAATTCCCCAGTTCCCATAATTGCTCACAGTGGTGCAAGGAAATAAAGCTAAAAATATTGGGATGAGATTAAGGAAACTGCATTTCAGTCGGAAATCTAAAGCCAGTTGACTGTGAAATGGTATTCAGGGGAAAATAGAGAAAGTTCTTTGCCTCAAACTATTGATTCTAGAACAGAAATGTTAAATATACCACTGGGAATAATTCCAATGCTTGCCTAGAATATTTATCTAAATTTGTATCTGTATTTATTAGAGAATTCTTAAAGGAAGCATTGACCAGCGCGGATCTTCCCCAGAATGTGTAAGACAGCTTGGAAACACTTTTTTCTAAAAAATGGAAAATTCCCTCTAGGGTCTGTGGGACATCAGGGGAATTAAACTGAGCCTCAGTTTGAGGAAAACTGATTCTGAAATCAAAAAAAAAAATTGACACATTGACAAATCAACCAAAAATTGCATAAATGAAGCAGAACCTTACCAAGGTGTGCATACTGCTAGACAGGAGAAATCCTGCCTTTGTGAATCTCCACTCCAAATGAAGAGCAAGGATCTTAAAGGCTCCGTGATGTCATTTCTGTGTGCATTAGTGCTTCAGAAGAGGATGTGAATGGCAGACTGCAAGGCTTAGCCCTATCAACTGTAAAACACAAAGGCTGTTCAGAAACTGGGTAACATCAAACACATAAACTAGAATTCAGTGATTCTGTACAGACTAATCTGTTTTGCCTGTGAAACAGCACAGATTTCATAAATATGAGTTTCTCAAGGACCTGAAATTGCAAGATCACATAGGGAAAAAAGTTCAGCAAGCATTGAAAATAATTTCTGGATTGCTGTTCTCTGGAATGGTAGTGTGAAAAAACAGGAGTGATTGGATGCATGGCAACAGAAATGGGAGTCGGTGTCCATTGTGTTTGTACTCTAAAGTCTGGGTCTAGTTTTAAGGGCATCCACTTTGAAGAATGGTGTCTGTTCCACAGCAGATCTCTAAATCTGACAGCGAGCAGCAAGATACGGCTGCCTGGTTGACAATTGGGTCTTGACAGCTGTATTAATAACGTGTAATGCGAATGACATACTAAAGATAATGAGCTTTACAGAATGACTGTACAAATGATGCTATCTGTTGTGCAATATGTGAAATACTGTAAAGCCAGGAAAGCATTTTAAAACGTATACCATGCTCTTTGTGGAGGGGGATCTCATTAGAACTGCAGTACGAAAGACTTGTTGTCAGGAAGGTGTGACATGGGTTATGTCCCAAGAAGTGCTGCATCGAACCTTGAGCTAATCCTTGCAAGCTTCCTGCTGCTATTGAAAGAGGAGGAAGTAGAAAAAACGCTTCTGAAGCTGAAGCCAAAGGAATTCATCCAGGTTTTAATGAACTTAGTGAATCAGATAGTGCCTTCATGTTCTAGTGTTCAAATGGTTGTTATAGTGGTGGGGCATTGCTTAAGGACAGTAAGTGAGAAAACCTATTTTTTCTGGCTCTTAAACTTCCATTTAAATTGCTCTGATTTTGATCTTGTAATTAAAAACCTGGTGAGACAGCTTGCTAAAACAATTTTTACTTACAAGTTCGTTTAATGTTGTAATTAAGCTGATGGTAAGCTTATATTATAAGCTTGAGATGCTGCATTTGAGGTACAGCTGGAAGGAAGCCCTATAGACGTAACTCCTAGGGATGCTGGGTGATTGGGAGTTTCCCTGCTACTGGTGAGTGCCTGCAGCCAAGCAATACCTGCTTTGGGGAGCAGGTGATTCCTGCTGCTGGCTTTTAGGAAGAATTCCTTTGCCAGTTTTGGGATGAAACCTTTTCCACTTGGAAGCTGGAGAAAAGATGTCCTGGAGCTCTCAACAAACCCTTAAGTACCAATTTGTTGTAGTATTTACATATGTATCTTTTTAGAAGTGTGTGAAATATTCTGTTTTTACACATGTGAAGAATGACTGAGGAGATGCTTACTCCTCTCTGAGGTTGTCCAGCTAGATTAGAAATAATTACCTGGAAAGAAAACTTGTCTGTGTTGCAAACCAAATGAAAAAGGAATGCACAGAGCTACGTTTCTGAGCCTGCATCAGGACATTGTCTCTACTTCACCTCTTCAAGGGACAGTTGAGATTTTGGAGAAAGAGAGGAAGGAGAAAAGAGAAAAAATACATAATCTTTGACAGCTGTTGGTATCACATTTGTAAGTATAGAAAGCAGGATGGAGACTCCAGATAGCATGTTTTACTTTCTGCATGAAGGTGGAGACTTATTTCAACCAGCCAGTGGTTCAAATTGAGTTAAGAATAGGACATACATTCAGAATATTTATGAAAAGCAGTTACGGAACAGAAAACAGGAGACAATAATTCCTTTGATTTATCAAAGTGACATTAATTCTTCTACAGCAAATGACTGAGGCAAATATAATCATTTCATCTGCTATGTGTCAGGGCCCCAGAGTGATAGTTGCTAACTGTTCCATTGTTGACCCGCTGTTTTCTGATTACTTTGAGAACAGGCATGTTATGTGCTTCACTTAGCTGCCAGTTTATCCATGGAGTAAATTAGCTGGAAGGGATGTTCTTGTAACTGTTAGGTTTATAATCCTGAGGGGGGGGGGAAATCAGATGTTTGCAGTGCTCACTGCAATGAATTTGTAGGGTTTTATTCTCTGCCTTCTCTTTATCTGATTACCAGTGCGTGAAATCTGAAAGAAATACATCAGTCTTGCCTTCAGTGCACAAACATTTCTCCAGCTGAGTGCAAGAAGGGTCTGCATTAAAGGTGCAAAAAGGTCTGTATGAAAGAATACAGAGTTACTCCCCAAGTTCCTTCCCCATCTCCCCTTAAGATTGGAGGAGAGGCTCTGAATTGATGCTGTTATTCTGGTAAAAGGCAGGTTTGGTTCCTTGAGAGATTGTAGCAGAGAGAAGGACTGCTGCAGTATTTTTAAGAATCAAATAATAGAAAACACCAAACCTGTGTTCTTATTTAATAGCTTCATGCTGTTCAGTCATCCCATTCTTTACAGACTAAATCAAACTGCTTAGGGCAATTCTCTTTTTCCACTTTGCTTACCATAAAGCAGATCAGACAGCTCTCTGA